TCACCTCAGCCTCCCAAAGGCGCAGGATTACAGGCTGAGCCACCGAGCCCGGCTCCCTCTTCTATTTCATTAACAGGAACCTTTACAAGTTCTTGTCATACTTTTATCATTCCTGACATTTCAAATCACCTGATCATACCAGTTAAAATAGGTACTGTAAATTTACTTAAATTATTAAAGCATATACTTACTACTCCAATATCAAAATGATTTCATTTGTGTTTTCATAGACCTCATGAAGGTTGATGACACGGGGACAGGCCTTTGTCACCTCCAGCACAGCAATCTCATGCAGAATCTCGGCTCGACAATCCTGGCCTCTTCTTCTCTTTTTTAGAAATTTTGCAGCATATTCTTGGCCAGTAGATTTTGATATACACTGTCTAACCACGGCAAATTTTCCTCTGGGGGAAAGAGGAATACAATCAGCTTTAACTTTCCCATAGAGAACAATGTTAGTATATTACAGATACTATTTACCTCTGACTTAAAGTCTTTCAAGTATTCAAGCCATTAGGACTTTATCTCTGTTCTCTAAGCTGAATCAAACATATGTACTTTTATGAAATTTACAGTGTATTACAAATGTAAATGGCAAACTGTAACTATGGGATAAGACAATTATATTTGTTCTTCACTATTAAAATGACACATTATCACTGCAGAGAGACAATCTCATTGGCATACCAACCCCGTGCCACATTCTTTACATAAATCATGGTGTTTAAGTATCACACCAATCCCACATTGTAAATGCTATTCTGTTTTGTGACCCCAGGTAAGATACATAACTTGATCAAGGTAGAGATTTAAACTTCGGCCTATTTTCAAGACCATAATAAGGTTGCCTTTGACAATTTTAAGAAGTTTAAAAACCTTACATCACAATGCATCATTTGTTCTGCCAGCATAACTCTTAGTAAGGCTCAGTAGTCTAGGCAGTCTCAACGGACACCTGAGCTATCTGTGTGCTTGGGAAAGGATTCAAAGGCACTTCACGATCAACTGAAAAAATGAATGGTTACCAACAGGATAGATAAACATACCCACTAAGGTCATGGTGATCATTTTAGGATAAGTATGCTTCTAGCTCATTCCAGTAGCGCTGGTTAGCGCCTCAGCCAAAAGGTAGACACCAAAAATTCACTTCTATTAGCATATGTGTGTATTATAAGCCTACAACCACCTAAAATTTATTCTCACAAATGCCTAAAGCTATTTTGAGTCAAAGGCTATTTTAAGAAACTAATAAAAGCTGTTCTACTGATCACCAACCCAGAAAAATGTACACATGCCCTTAAGCAGGAAGTTTTACACACAATTCCTGAGGGTTTTCAGATCCAAAAGCCCATCAACAAGCCTTCTCAGCTGAGTCTAAGAGACCCAAAACTAAGACCCTGTTTCCCAAGGCTCCAATTGCTCTCTAGTGCCCATTACTAGCAAATCACATACAACAAAGAATCTTCAGAAAGCCTCCCCTCTTGCCCTATTCCCCTCCACAAACCTCTAACACAGACTGTTAGGTTATTAGCAAAGAAAACAAAACTTGGCATTTAGGGTATATGGGGAAGGAGATTCAAATGCTTGACGATATTTGACTTGCTATTCCTAGGGCCCATGACAAAGATACTACTCTCCTCTTATTTCCCAGGTTTCCTCAAAATTGGTGCTAGATACCAGCCTACAATATGACTCTTCTACATTTATCAAAATATACATCAGTGAAATACAATTGCATGGACAAACCTGATTCTCTGAAAGCAGTTTTAAGATTTTAAAATGAATGTTTAATTTTAACTACAAAATATTTTTTCATTTTATGCAAAAGGAATATGAATAGAATCATTTCAATGAGCACACAAAAAAGTAAATCAGTTCCTTTATATCCAAACTACTACTAGTGTTTTATGTTTTATATTGGATAAACCCAGTCATAATAAGATTAAATAACTGAAAGGTCATTTATGGAATTGAAGAGCCAAGAACTACACTACGGAAAAAGTAGATTCCAAACTTTGTGTTTAACCTCTACAAAGCAATCCTTCCTTTTAAAACAGACTTCTTTTAAAAAAAAAAAATGCAACTCACTCATTTCTGCCCATTTGTACTTAGATTTAGAAGCAAAAACTTGTCTAAAGCAGAAAGGAAATTTTGAGTCTCATAAAAAAATTGACCGGTAAAATTTAGGAAACAGAAACTAGTTAGCCAAAAAATTGTGCATCTGAAAAGACATACTTTATTGTAATCACTATCACAATTAAATTAAATAATGTTATTATTTATTATATCTACAGGCCAGAATTCTCTCAGAAACAAAGGGCAAAATTAAATAATAATAGTTTTCATCTAATTGTTTCAGGTATTACCAAGAGACTTTCTAGAACAAGTACAGTACTCATTCATTCAGGGCAAAGGTGGCCAAATAACATTGATGATGATTTATCTGTTAGTGTTCACCACTAAGTAAAAGTTCCATGAGGGTAGGACCTAATTATTATGGTAAATATAAAATCTACACTTTGCTAACACATAATAGGAACTGAAATCTCTGTTGGGTAAATGCCAGAGTTATGCACTGACTGTAATACTGTATACCATGCCATTGTAGCCTGTAGATAAAGCATATAAATTTTTTTTTTTTTTGAGTTGGAGTCTCACTCTGTCGCCCAGACTGGAGTGCAGTGGCCGCTCCCGGCCACCGCAGCCTCGCCTGCTGGGCTCCGGCGATCCTTCCGCCTCAGCCTTCCAAGTAGCCGGAATTACAGGCATGCGCTACCATGCCCGGCTGATTTTTTGATTTATTGTAGAGATGAGGTCTCGCCGCCCAGGCGGGTCTTGAACCCGCGGGCTCAGACAATCCACTCACCTCAGCCTTCCAAAGGTGTGGGATTACAGGCTGAGCCACCGAGCCCGGCTAGCATATGGATTTTTTAAAGCTTGTGATTCCAATATAATTTTATATGAGATGTATACATGTGTGACTTTTTATATATATATATATATATATATACACTTTGCTAACACATAATAGGAACACACACATACACACACACGCTCATTTATATACTGTGAAATAAGGTAAATATTTAATTATCAGATGCTCAGGGGAAAAAAAGATGTTTTCTATTTTAAAATGCTAGTGTAGTTTAGAAATATCAAAAATAACCTTCAATATATAATGTTCCTGTACCAAATTTAATAGATCTAATAAAAACATTTAAAAAAACGTAAAGTGCTTAAAAGAAATATTTAGGTCATACCCTAAAAAGGCAAGGTTGACTAGACTTCCCGGCAGTGAAAAGGTTAGCAGCTACCCTTCTGCATTCTAGAACACACAATAAAATGTGAAAGGGGGGAAAGCCACAGAGGAAGCTGACGTTTATTTCTGAATCAGCCTCACCCTCTAACCACAAAAAGCTTACTTCAGTTGGGGGAAGGGTAGAAAAACTTACCAACATGTTAAAAAACAGGAACAAAGCAAGTTTTTTTAAAAAAGTGAAAAATAAATTAACTTTTGCATATTTTCCTTTAATTTACTCAAGGAAACAGTTTCTTAAAATTAATAAAAAAGTTGATTTAGAAAGATAACTTTGCAGTTCACCACATACTGAAATTACGTTTATATACTTCAAAATGTATAAGTCTTGAGAGAAACAAGATTATGATCCTATTTTCTATTTCACAAAAGTACAGAATATTAAAATTGGTAACAATATTGAAGTAACTTTTAGCAAGTTCTTGGCAGATGAAAAGTCATAATTTCTAATTTATCAAGGTCTACTACTATATCAATATTTACCACGACTTATTATCCCATATCAATTTTTAAAAAAATGCTACTTAAGTCTTTTTCATAAAGATATCAGCAATCTGAATTTCTTTCTGTCTTTCTTTAAAAAATAGAAAAGAATGCCTTTTATCATGTGTACTGTTCAGGGCTTTGCATATTCAGTTCCCCACCACAAACGCTGAAGAACAGCTTTTTTGGGGAAATCTAGGAAAGATTGCTGCACGGACAAAACATCACACTAGAAAACCAGATGTCCTTCCAGTGCAGATTCTGTGACTAGTCAACATGAGATACAGGAAACAAAAAAAAGTACTTCTTTCTAATATAATGCAAAGGGGAATAATTATAGATGTAGAACTAAACAATTTCCTAAAAACATTGTAAAACGCTTTCAAAATGATATAATATACCATTAAAACACTCAAATATTTTGCACATAAAATGAAATGAATTCTTATGCTTTTATATTAAATTCTTAGTCAACAAGGTAGAAGTTATCAACTATATTTTGTGAAAGAAAGGCTACACCAACATCTACAAAGTGAAAATGCCAAGACTTGCCTCTGCCCTTAAGATAAAAGACCACCAAGAATAGAATCACGTTTCATGGTTCAGTCAAATTTTGTTTTCACATTGAGACTTTTAAAGATAAAAAGCAGTCATATAATAAAGAAGGACTTAGTAACCATTTTAACATAAGCCAAAACATTGGCCTCCAGAACTAAAATCAAACTGAAGATACAAACCAACCACCATCTTCCAGCCCTTTGTTAAGCTCCTTTAATCTAAAGGTCAAAAGATACTGAATACATAACTGAAATAACTTGGTGTATCTCTGGTAGCTATTAAAATGGTGGTAATGAATGTCTCATAATATCATGCCACTCCTTGGCCTCAAAGAATTTTATACTTGGTTAGTTAAGCTAAAACAGAATTTGTATGCTTTTACTTATAAAACACTCATTCGTTGTGACAGAAATATACCATCAATTATGAGTTTATTCTTTTTGTTTAATTTAGGAAAGGAGAGAGGGAGAATCTATTTATTTTTTTAGCCCATCACAATATCCTAGGAATTTCAAAAAATATTTTATTTAACACAAACTTATCTAGCACTGAACTAAGCACTTTACACATATTAACTAGTTTAACCCTCACAGTCACCGTGTAAAATAGAAACAGTTATCTTCACGCCCGTTGTTCAGACGAGGAAAAGCACTCAGAAAAGTAACTTCACTGAGGCCACACAGTGAGTGGACAGTGGTCCAGACTTGGCCTTGGCAGCCCTGACACTGGACTGCCTCTTCCCATGACAGCCTCAAGGATCCCAGACCTCCAATCAGGGACCTTGGAGTTGGGGGGATATATGACATCAGTGCCCGAAACCTTCCACAGATGTGACCCTAAGTCAGTGAGTACTAGACCATGTGTAACAGCAGTAGAGATGATGACTCTCCTTCCTGGTTATTGTGAAATAATGATGCAAAGTGAGTTTTACAGCAGAACTACTGAAACAGAAATTTCAAGTCTGAATTTAAACAGCATATACATAATAAAGCTTCCTTACCTTCCCAGCTCTTTAGGAGTGAGTGTGTAGAAATTGTGAAAGTTCTCCGTCTTCATGGGGGTTTGAGGAGTTGTGGTCAGCAAGCCAGAAATACTCCGGCAATCAAACCTCCTCCTGGACATGGCAATGGCTCCAGACGTGCTGCTTCGGTCACTTATGTTACCTGTTTAGAAAGAGAGAAGACAGGATAAATTCAAATGCTACAAGACGTTATTTCAGGCAGGATGGGCATGACATCACACAGCTCCAAATACAGCTATAAGATACAATGAAAAAGAAAGAAGAGGAAGATTTAAAGAGCATATTCTACCCTCAAGGAGGAAGAACAAAAGCACACGCAAACCAGTCTCACCCTGAGGCACTGAGCAAAGTCACTTCACTGCAGAGTGAAACTACTGCAAAAACCATCCCAAATGATTTAAAAAAGCCATCATGACAAAATTATAATGCAAGTACTCAGTTTCATCGTAAAACTCTCATTCTTTAAAGCTGTAGGCTTCTCACAATTAGGCAATTTTACCTAATAAGGTAATGATTATTTGTTTAAGTTAATTTCACAAAGTCAAGAAATGTGGTGGTGAATTCACCGATTGTGAGTTAACTGGTAGGAGAATGACCACAACAGAAACAGAAACTATCCCCTGGATTGGCTTTGCTTCACACCAGATCTGGAAACCCTCAGGTCTCGGGTCTCTTCCTTGCAGAGCCCAGCAGAGCTGCCCTGTGTGACAAGCTCAACCTATCGCCAGATGGGCGATTCACTCAACAGAAGGCCTCACTCCCCAGGTTCTAAACTTTGCCTGGGCCGGGTGCAGTGGCTCATGCCGGCAATCCCAGCACTTTGGGAGGCAGAGGCAAGAGGACTGCCTGAGCCCAGGGGTTCAAGACCAGCCTGGGCAACTTGGCAAGACCTCGTCTCTACAATAAATCAAAAACTTAGCCAGACGTGGTGGTGCATGCCTGTGGTTCCCATTACTTGGAAGGAAGTCTGAGGCGGAAGGATCACCTGAGCTCAGCAGGTCGAGGCTGTGGTGGCCATCAACGTGCCACTGCACTCCAGCCTGGGTGACAGAGTGAGACTCTGACTCAAAAATAAAATAAAATAAAATAAAAGTAAATAACCTTCGCCTGTAGCTCACACTCACCTGGAGCTTTGGGGCAGTTACATGCATTCAGTTCTAACATCAAAGCTACGCCTCCATATGAACGAATTCATGTAATAACAACACGTAACAACACTCAAGACACTGCCGATGTGCTAGACATGGCTCGGCATCACAAGATACCAGGAATGATCCCTCTGGCGCCCCCTGCAGCACCCCCAAGTGCCTGCTCCTTCTCTGCCCCTTTTTCCTCTCTTACTTTCTACTTGACTCTACTGTTCTTAACCGTCCTATATTCAAATGCCAACTTTTACTTCACTCAGCAAACATGTAGTACGATTAGAGTACCATTTCAGGTTCTCTATTTTCTTTTCTTAGTGTATTCTTAAGTCTGTAAAACTGTTTTCCCTATATCCCTTGCCCCTTGGGAAAACAAAGCTCTAGCTAGTTCTGGGTTACATCTCAAGGGGTAAGGGTTGTACTATAGCTTCCTGAAAATAACATTTAGCCTGAAACACACCTGGTCTGAACTCCACTTACCTGTCATACCAACAACAAGACCTTCACTAAATTATTTAACTTTGCTAACATTATGGGTTAACCTGTGCGCTCTCCAAATCCATATGCTGAAATCCTAACCCCCAGCACCCCAGAATGTGATGGCTTTGGAGACAGGGCCTTAAAAAGAGGTGACTAAGTTAAAATGAGATCATCCAAGGTGGGCCAGGAGTCCTTGTAGAAAGAGATTAGACCCCAGACACACTCAGGGGACAGACCGTGTAAAAGCATGGGGAGAACAGCTATTGAAATGCCAAGCAAAGGGCCTCAGAAGGAGTAACTGCAGATGCCTTGGCCATAGATCTCGGGCTCCAGCCTCTGGGACAGCGAGAAGACACATTTCTGTTAAGTCACCCAGTCTGTGGCAATACAGATATGTATATCTGTATATATATCTGTTTACTGACAATTTGTTATTAGTATATGTTGGTAATTTTAATACAATTGTTTTCTTTCTTAAACTGTAAACACATTTTTTTGACACCGTGTGTGAGTGTATATGTATGTATTGAAGGGTTTTCCACTACTCTGTCAATACTTGCCCCATACAAACTCAACACTGGCTAGTCTCTATGCCAAGGGTGAAAGGGAATTTCACTGTGAGCCCTTTGCATTTCCCTGTACCCCAGTGGAGAAAACTTCAGTTCTGCTGCCTCCAGAAAATGGCTAATGACAGAATCAATCTTGCAGAGCCCTGAGGATTGAAAACTAACTCCACATGAGTGTCTCCTGTAGGGTGACACTGTCTCCTGTAGGTCCTAAGGGCTCATCATACCTATTTCACTAACAAGATTAACATTCCACCCAAAGAGTTTCTGCAGTTCCTATACTGCTGAGTGGCTGAACCATTGCACAGACAGAACCCTTGCCCTAAGTCAGTCCATGCTCAATTCTCCACGTTCTTTTTATTTCCTGTTTTAATTACATATCTTAGTTCTGATGGCACTCTGTTTCACTGGTCATGTATTACTCTCTGAAAAATCACTACTGAACAGTTTTTATGCTCAATCTAGTGTTTTCCATATCATCTTGGCTTTTAGGATTTTAGGCCTAAATCAAAAGTTCCGTGAATGTGCATGCTTAGGATCACATTTGTATCACACACACACGAAGAAGCATGGGTTCCAGAGGGCCTTCATCAGTCAGGCCTTGAGAAACCCAAGAACATGCCAACTCTATCAGAGACAGGCATGGGCCCTCTGTTCTGGGTGTCTGCTCATCTGAGATTCTGAATTCTATGACGTTTACTTCTTGCTGTAATACATCAGCTTCAAAGTGACCGAGTCATGAGAACACTGGCAGAACCAAAATCTGTTTTATGAACACACACTTCTGCTCTCAATTATCAAGAGTCAACATGGGTATTGGATGTAGTCAAAGATTTATGTTCAACGAAGCATAATTTAGAATAGGAAAAAAAAAAGTGCTGAACAAACTCCAAAGTTCAACAATAAGGAAACTTAGAATATTACACATTCAGTAAAAATTGTGCTTTCAAATAATATTTTAAAACTCATAATATTAAGTGAAAAAAGGAAGATACAAAACTTTGTATATGATATGATAATTCTGCGAGTAAAATATAGAAGCAGAGAAAAGACAAGACTGCAGAACTGTGGCAAAGTATTAACAGGGTTATCTTTGAGTGGTGGGATTATGAGTAGTACTTACGTTTTTTCTGTGTCTAAGTTATCTCTACACTAAGAAGGCACTACTTTAATAATTAACAAAAACAAATACCTTTGGGTAAAAAAAGGTGGGTGTGACTCTTGTCACATCACATAATGAGGTTGAATATTTTTAAAACCTAAAATAATAGTTATTCCAACAATTTAACTAATAAATTCTTTGTTATACTAAAAAAAAAAAAAAAAAAAAAAAAAGATAGCCATTTCTTCAATGCAGAAACTCATCCATCTGTAACAGCAAAAGGTATCAATTTACATGGCAGGCACCTACTTAGCCTGAAATTCAAGGCCATCACTGCCAGGCTTCTGAAGGCATCAACATCTTCTCTGCATTTATATATAGCTGATAGTGCTCATTATCCAAACCATTCGTCAGTTTTATATGCAGAGACTATACGTAAGCACTTAGGATAAACACTAGGCAAGAATTAATATCTTTTTTTTTTTTTTTTTTGAGTTGGAGTCTCACTCTGTTGCCCAGACTGGAGTGCAGTGGCTACTCCCAGCCACCACAGCCTCGGCCTGCTGGGCTCTGGCGATCCTTCCGCCTCAGCCTTCCGAGTAGCCAGAATTACGGGCATGTGCTACCACGCCCAGCTGATTTTTTGATTTATTGTAGAGATGAGGTCTCGCTGCCCAGGCAGGTCTCGAACCCGCAGGCTCAGGCAATTCACTCAAAGCCTCCCAAAGGTACAGGATTGCAGGCTGAGCCACCGAGCCCGGCTAAGAATTAATATCTTAATATTTCATAGGAAAAAACACTTAGAAAATTCTGAATTAAGTTATGATTCTAATTCCAGATAATGAATAACAATTTGTAACCCTAAGACAAAGATCTTTATTATGATATCAGGTGGAAAACCAATCTCACCCTGGCTCCTTTAAAAACAGTACAGAATGTCAAACCAGGCAAAGTGGGGACCAAAGGGAGGCCCAAATTTTACCTGTACAATGACCACTTATATACCTAATCCTGAATTGTACCCCACATCTTTAAAATAAAATTTAAAAATTTTTTAAAAAAGTCCAGAATGTGATATCCAAATACAGTGATAAAAAGCTAACTTGGCCTATTATTTAGTTATATTAGGAGGGAAAAAGAGTTTAGAGTTTTTTTTAAAGAACTGAAATGGATAATGATAACTTAAATAGGGCCTTCTGAGTCAACCTACTTAACCGCATTTCCTAATACCAGGCACTGGCTTGTATATGACTGTCTATCCTAACATATTCTCTAGCACTCACACGCACTGCTGGTCATGACAACACATGTTATGCCCCAGGTGACCACAGGACCCCAGATGCGCAGAACATAGTTCGGGGAAGACAGCAGCTCTAAATACATGTTACTACAAAATCATTTTTGGAATTGTGATATATTTTACTCTGGCTCTGAATTTTACTCTGCTGGGACACAAGCCTCGACCAGGAGAAGAGAGACAGCCCTTCCAAAGATGGAACCCTGGGCTCGACTGTTCGTGTCTGATGTGCCTGTGTCATAGCCTGCCTCGGCATCACACTGCCTCATATTGAACCACTGTCAGAGCCCAGGTCTTCTTCTGTGTCCTCTCCTTTGCCAACTTCACATCTCACTTCTGGTCTGTCCTCCATATAAGGTACATGAAGGTCATCTGCCTGCTCTCTCTCCGGCGTATTCCTAAATCCCTCACCCAATCCTCTTCAACTCCAAAAACAATCCCAACCTCTTCCGGTCTTCTACCACAATTCAAAGACCTATGCCTGACTCTAAATCACCAATATGTTTCACTGCATTTGAAATAATATGTTATTGGGCTACATTAGTAG